GTGGGGGAGGTCTAGGTAGGATATTAGGAAAAACGATTTCCCTAGGCGGGTGGGAAGCGCTGGGCTGGTTCCCTAGGGCGGGGGTGGAGTCTCCATCCCGAGGGGTGTTTAAGTCCCGGCTGGACACAGCCCTGGCTGGGCTGACTGAGTTGGGGTTGGTCCTGCCTTGGGCCTGGGTTGGACTTGATGCCTCCTGAGGGCTCCGCCCACCCGCCCTGTGGCTCTGTGATTTTCCCTGGACGTTCCAATCCCGAGTCCCAAGAAAACGGTTGAGTGTGAATCTGGCCCTCGCCCCCACGTGGCCGACCGGGGTGAGTCTGGGGGGCTGGGAGCGTACGAGAGGCAGGCCGGGAGCTCTGATGACTCAGGCAGAGACAGGCAGACAGACGAGTGTCTCTGCGCACTTCCTGTGAGGGCAGCTGGAGTCCGCTGGTGACCCCCAGCCCGGCCCGCCTGTTCCTCTTTGCAACGCTGGGTGCCTGGCGCTCTCCCCCCTGCTGGGGGGAGGGGAGAGGCGCTGAGCCCCCCCAAGGCGGGTGCCCCCCAGGTTTGCGATTCAACGGCCAGGAGGCACCTTGCTGCTGCCGTTGCCAGGTGCCAAGTAGGACTCGCTTCTCACGGGAAACCTGACGGCTCCCCTGGGATCTGTCGCGTCGGCCTCCTCCCACGAGCTCTCCGGGGCGAGGGCTCCCGGCGCTGCCGCCCGCCTTGGCGCCTGAAAGCAGCCCAAGTGCCAGCGCCAGCCCTAGTTTTGGCGGGTCACCTTTAAGATCCCCATGCAGGAGTTTCACCAGCCGCGTGGCCTGCGACGCCGTAACCGCCCGAGATCGAAACTGCCGCGGCCGGCTAAATGCAGACGGGAAGTTGTCGACGTGAGCGCTCTCTTCCCACGCTCGCCTCGGCTTTCTGAGCAGCGGGCTCACCACAGCCCCGGGCTGCTTCCTCTTGCACAGCCGCTCCCTGCTGCTCTGCAGGACTCGCTCCGGGCCGTTCGGGGCAGGGCAGGTGTCAGCCTTTCCTCCAAGGAGCTTTACTTCCGCCGACGGGCCTGCACAGAGCCCCGAGTGGCCGGGGTGCTCGACGTCCCCAGCCACAGATGGCAAAGCAGCTCGGCACCCACCAGTCACGCGTGAATTCCCGTGGCAGTCGGTTCCTTGCAGCCAGATCCAGAAGCCATTGAAATCAGCGGAGAGACTCTCCCCAGCAGCGCTCCCTGCAAGCCGAGCGCTCGGGCACCCACCCCGGAGAGGTTCCAGTGCCGCCCGCTGATCAGCAGAGCGCCCAGAGCCGGTGGCGTGTGTGTCCACTGGTGGTGCACATAAGCCCAGGCCACGGTGCACAGAACAATGTTTATTTTCCACATGGGATGGAAAAAAGTGAGAAGGAGCATTGTCCCTCACCCAGTGACTTTGGCTCAGCTTCTCACTGGCTCTGATCCGCTCCTGCCCGGCTGGCACAGAGATGTGGGGTGATGCTCTGTGTGCAGCCAGCGGGGACGTTGGTACCGTGCCTCCGGTCGCCAGGGCAGGCAGCATCCCCCACTTCAACCTTCCTGGGCCTGGCCCCTGGGCGCGCCCCACCATGAGTCTGCCTGGGCAGGACTCCCGGGGGAGCCCCAGAGCCGGCACCCCGACTCTCACGTATCGGCAGGTAGACACAGCGCAGAGCAGCGCTTGTAGCACAGGAAACTGGAAGGTTCAGAAAAATCCATCTTGGGGGGAGGGGCCCCACCCCCCCCCCTCCCCCCCAGCCTGCCTGGGCTGACCTGCTTCCAGCTCTCTGGCGCCAGACATGCCCCCTGCTCCTCCTCCAGCCGCCCTGTTGCTTGCTTCCTGGTGTCACTGGGTTGCATCCCCCTCCTGGCTCTCCGAGTGCGCTTGTGAGCAGCTCCCCCTCCTCGCAAAAGTCACACGCCCTTATTCCCACCACCTAGACACTCGTGCGACGCACAGGGAAACTGAGGCACGCACTGTCTTCCTACAAAACCATACGACCCACTAGTTCCCCGGAGGCGTAACCCACCGTGTGCCGCCAGCTCTGCCTCCGCGTCTAGTGTGGCCTCGGCCAAGCACTTTCTGCCTCCCCTCAGACGGTGGCTTGGGGGTGGCTGGCGAAAGCAGGAAAGTTTGCAAGAAGTTTTGCAAGATGCTGCCAGCAAGGCCTCGTGGTTTGGGTAAGGCGGGAGCGGGGCCGTTGCAAACCGCGCTGGTGCCAGCCCCGGAGGGGTTCTCATGCTGGCGCAGTTGGACCTCTGCAGCCGGCCAATTGTCTGGGCGCGCAGCCCTGGGACTCTGCTTGGCTTGCCCCGAGAAGTGTGTCTGCGCTGAGCGTTTGCCCTGGGATCTAAGAACATCAGAGCAGCCAGACGGGGTCAGAGCAAAGGTCCATCCAGCCCAGTGTCCTGTCGGCCGACAGCAGCCAGGGCCAGGTGCCCCAGGCGGAGGGAACACAACAGGGAATCCTCACGTGATCCCTCCCGTCACCCACATCCGGACAAACAGAGGCGGGGGACACCATCCTGCCAGCCTGGCTAATGGCTGGTGATGGACCTAACCGCCAGGAATCTAGCTAGCTCTTTTTTGAACCCTGTTAAGTCCTAGTCTTCACCACATCCTCTGGCGAGGACTTCCACAGGTTGACTGTGCGCTGAGTGAAGAAAAACTGCCTGTGGTTTCTTTTAAACCTGCTGCCTGTTCATTTCATTGGGTGACCCCTAGTTCTTACATTGTGGGGATAAGTAAATCTGGTGCAAATTTCGCTGGTTTCGACAAAGCTGAAGAACCAGCAAGAACTTCCCGGCTGCACACAGCAGCACTTTGCTGCGGGAAACCCTTGAAGTGAAGGGGAGAGGGGAAGGGTCTTTTTAAACAGGCTCTCTAGGCAGCCCCTCATTCCTTCTCTCCTCCTCCCTGGCTTTAGGACCACAGCACCCAACTGGGCCGAACAGGAACCTTGACCCGGAAAGGAACCAAGTCGTCATCTGGAGCAGGTGCAGGCACCCTGGGGTGAGATGGAGTCTCTCTCTCTAGCACCCTGACCGTCCCCCTGCTCTCTGCGAAAGGCCCTTTGCTCTGATTGGTTCTGTTAGGGGGCAGCCCCAGCTCACGCTGGGACCCTCTGCGCTAGGTGCTGTACAAACTCCTAGCAAGAGGTAAAATGAGCCCGGGGACAAGGGACTTGCCCAGGGTCACCCAGCAGGTCAGTGCCAGAGCTGGGAAAGGGCTCCCGGTGTGCTGGGCCCCAGTGCAGTGATCTCAGGGGGGGCTGATGGCACGTTCTGTCCGCAGGAGAAACCCTCGTATCCTGGAGCCCATTCAAGTGCCCGTGGTTCCGGAAGGGAGACTCGCCGCTGCGTCCTCAACAGCCCCCAGGTAGCTGCCCAACACGCCAGGGCGCCTCCTCCGTGCTTGGCGGGGGTGGGGAGACTGGGGGGTTCGGGGGTGGAGCCAATTGCCTGGCTAGTCTGGGGAGACAACCGCTCCCCTCGCTGGTTCGAAATCTCGTTGGTTTCACGCCTCATTGATTCCAGGGCCGGAAGGGACCGTTGGGATCGGCGAGGGCAGCTCCCCAAAGTGCCCCCAAGGGCGGCGCACCAGTGGGGGAGGGGAGCTGCAGCTGGGGCCCAGGCCAACCCGCACAGGGGCAGGAACTGAGCACCAGCCAGCTCCGCTCCCGCACCGATTCTGGCCCCACATGCGGGGCCTCAGTTGTCTTGGGCCCTCGCTGGGGCTCGGGTCCTCCCCCAGCTGTGAGCCCAGCCTTGGAGCCATGGCACTCGGGGGGAGGGGGGATGCAGAGAGGTAAGGGGGGGGCACAACCCTGAAAAGTTTGGGCACCAGGGATCGTGGGACTCGTTTAGGAGCTTCCCTCGCCCACTGCTGGGCCAGGCTGCCTGGGGGAGCTGTCGCCCCGGAGAACAGTGGAGCCGTTTCCTGGGCATTTTGTTCAGCCGCCGTTCCCCTCTGGGAGGGCGTTGGATGAGTTAGCGGCTCATCCGGCCCACGGGGGCTCCCAGAGCGCGTGGGTCAAGAGCCGCCTCCGCTCCATCTCCCAGACGGGAAAACCACGTGCGAGAAGTTGAGCGCACGGCCCTGGTGGAAACTAATCCCCGAGAGCTCCTGCCAGCCTCTGGCCCGGCAGCGGGGCCTTCCTGCCCCCACCCCCT